CAGATTTTCTGGGTTTCTGGCGCGTTATTTCAGCTTTAGAGTAGAAGTCAGCCACTACTGCGTCATGGTCAGATATGTCTGGGACACACGTGGATTGTTTTAACGAGGGTGGGGCTGGACGTGAAGATAAGGTCTGGGATGCTGTTTTTACGTGTCGGTCATGTCCTCTGCACCTCAGTGAGTAGTGGGCATTGCACCCAATATTTAGTATCCAGCTTGATGAATCTACAGACGTTGCAAACTGTTGACAGTTACTAATTTATGTGAGGAATATTAATGATGGTGACTTTAAGATGAGTTTTTTTTCTGCACTTGATGTATTTGACACAGTTGGTTTATTTCTGAAAGATCATATATCTTTTGGAAAAGGTTTGGGTGGTTGCAAAGATGGTGCTCCAGCTATGCTAGGATATCGATATGGATTCAATGTCTAATACTGAATGAGTCACAAAAAGTCATCGGGACTTACTGATTGATTAATCGGCAAATATTAGATATGAATAATCAGGTAAGAAAGAAACAATCTACTGGCACTGATGTTGGCTTTTAGCACACTGTCGCAAAATGTAGCAAAGTAGTTTACTGTTGTTAAATTAAGACTGTTACCCATGCTACACCATGTTTCAAGACAAAATTTCATTTCTTTGTAATCAGAAATTAATATTTCACAATATATTGTTTTTTTGTGATTAATGCTTAAATTATGTTCAATTTGTAACAATGAAAATGAATTCTGCATATCAGACATTTACATTACGAATCATAACAGTTATGAAGTAACAATGAAAATAATTTTATGGTTGGGTCGAAATTTCTGAGGTAACCCCCCCCCCCCCCCCCCGGGAAAAATTATAAAATAATCACTGGCTATGACTGAATCCTCAAAGTTTACTGCTGTGGTGACTGAAACCTGATATTGCTGTTTACTGCTGTGACTGTATCCTGCTGGTCCATTATCCTGCTGGGTCCGTATCCTTCTCTCCTATATCCTAATTGAGCAGTGTCCCGCTATCCTGTATCCTACTGTGCCTGCATGCTGCTCTATCTGTTTGCTTCTGTGGCTGTGTCCTGCTGGGCCTGTATCATGCAAGGAATTTAACCTGCTGTGCTTACTCCGATTTGACATTAAACCGCTGCTTTGCCTGTATCCTGCTGTGCCTGTATTATTGTGTGACTGTATCCTGCTGTGAATATATCCAGCTAGACTTTCTTTCTGCTGGGCCTGTATTCTGTGCAGACTGTATCCTGCGGTGCTGTACACCGATTTGACAGCGCACCGCTGTCCGCTCGACTTGTGAGGGACAAGTTCAAGACCAAGTCAGGGAAGTTAGTTTAAACTATGTATATACTGTTTTATTATGCAAATGTTTACATTTTTTTTTCTTTAATTGTTTCCGCAACTGAGTGCCTTAGAATTATTTCTAGGTATTAGGGATAATTTAATTATCACTAATTAGATTTTAAAAAAAAAACAGTTGAGGCGGCTACAGACGACAGATTTGTGTCTATTGCCTCCTGTTTTCCAACCCCCAGTTCGTAACACCACTGCTGAGTAGCCCTTGCAACCAGTGAAGTATCCCTTTGAAAACCATGCACAGTAACATCGCGAACCCCTCTGAAACATGAGCCAGAATGATCAATTCATTGATCGTGGGCCCTCAAAATAAAAAGAATATAAAAAATAAAGAAGAAGATATTATTTTACTATTGAGTGCATCATATAACCGAGGTTAGTTAAATGTGTTTTGTATACTAGAAGTGGAAAAGTTCGATATTTTTAAAAATTATAAAATATATTTAATTAATAATCCCACCGAGGAGAGTGCCTGTCAGTAATTGGGTAGACATTGTAAACTAAATAGTAAAATGGAGACAAGTAGTTACAGAATACAATTGTTCCAAAAGCTTAGGGAAGAGGGAGGGGAGAGGGGTCCCATAGACGAAGCTCTCAGTCAGTGGATAGAAGGAAAAAACGGGGAGAAAGTGAAAGACAAGATGAGATGTAATACTATAGAAGAAAGGAAAAGAGGAGAAAGGGAAAGATAAGATAGGTTAGAAGAAAGGGTACAGGAACTTAAGACAAATGAAACTAGGAGCGGATAAAGAGATTGAATTAGCTAAAAAGATAGGTTGTAGTATGGAGGAGAAACACGAACTTGAAATTATAGAGAAATTTAGAATTTAAAAGCAGCGATCAGACAGGCAGAAGTAGATGCAGAAACAGAGGCAGAAGACATTATGAGTCAAGAATATTATGGCAGCGACAATAATGAGAGTGATTTGGAAGAATGTGTTAGTACTACAATAGACGGTGTAATTAATATAAACCGCGAGAATCCGTACACTAGAGGTAACAGTCATAGAAATTGGCCAGACGGAATTATAAGATGGTTATTACATGGCAGTAGGGGAAACTAAGAAGAATCAATCAGTTCAGATGGGAAAGTATGAAGAAGACCTAGGAAGACGAACATTCAATGATAAATATACGCAAAGTGGTAGTCCATACGCTGAAGTTGACGGGAGTAAAGTCCATCTATTAGGCTATGAAAATGAGCCAACTGAGAATATACCGAGTTTGTGGAGGAGTTATTAAGTATCCCGAAAAAAGTCATGCTATTATAACTAAGTGTAGGGACAATGTAATGTTCATAGCATCTAGTCAGGTGGTGATATACTAGAACATAGTGTGGAAGTTAAAAAGTAAGAAAACATTGTCAAGTTAAACAGGATCATAAGCGAGATTGTAATCTTAAGAGTCAGGATATGGAAAACCTGTAAGCATATGCTAAAAGGTTTATTAATGTACAACATGTGACTTTTAATGATGTACAAGATATGGCTTTTGAGAATTAAAAGAAAAAATTAGATTTTGTTAATGTACAACAGGGGGATTTAGATTTTTTTTTTTTGCAGGAGGGAGATGTGTATTTTGTACAAGAGGGAGATTTTGATTTCTTGATAGATGAAGATTTGTAATCTGCACAAGAGGGAGATTTTGATTTCGTGAAAGATGAAGATTTGTATTCTGTACAAGAGGGAGATTTTGATTTCGTGAAAGATAAAGATTTGTATTCTGTACAAGAGGGAGATTTTGATTTCGTGAAAGATGAAGATTTGTATTCTGTACAAGAGGGAGATTTTGATTTCGTGAAAGATGATGATTTGAAATCTGTACAAGAGGGAGATTTTGATTTCGTGAAAGATGAAGATTTGTATTCTGTACAAGAGGGAGATTTTGATTTCGTGAAAGATGATGATTTGAAATCTGTACAAGAGGGAGATTTTGATTTCGTGAAAGATAAAGATTTGTATTCTGTACAAGAGGGAGATTTTGATTTCGTGAAAGATGAAGATTTGTATGCTGTACAAGAGGGAGAGGCCAGTTTTTTTAATGTTTTTATTTTTTTATTTTTTAGTTTAGAGAGATTTGTGCTTCAAGCGGGATTTTGATGGTGTTAAGAATTGGACATGCCACGGTGATCACGACGTGGAGGTCATCAGCTGATCTAGAGCAGTCCCAATACGGTGGGACGACGTTTCAACAAGGTGGAGGTCATGGGGGGATGAATTTACGTGGAGCTACGTGGCTTGTGGTTCAATGGATCAGCTTTGTAATGTAGGAGACACGAGTTGCTCGAGGATTGAGAACCGCGGTGGTGTCGAGTCCGTCTCCGACAATCTTTTTGTTGCTAACGGTTTTGACATTGGTTACCAAGTTTACGTGGAGGAGGTGAGCGTTTTCCCCTGAGGTAGGATTAGGTGAGAAAGTCTTTGTTTTTTTGATGTTGTGTATGATGTATTACGTCATGCGAGCCGGGAGTGCTCGAAGTTTGAGAGAAGGGATTTCTCAGACTAAAGGTGTTTTTTTGTGTGTTAATGTTGAAGTGTTTGCATTTGTGGAGGAGGCGAGAGTTTTTTTTTTTATGAGTTGGGAGGTGAAGCTTACGATTTTTATGTTGCTATAGGCTAGTTAAAGATTTTAGTGTGGTAATTTGTTATACATTTGTTTTTTTAACTTAATATACAACGTATAGGCCTACATGTTATGTTACTTTTATGGGAGAGTTGAGTTGGCAAAGAAGTGCACGCTCTCTGGCAAGTGCAATATCCCGCTATCTTAAAATGTTAGTATTAAACTGGACAATTTATGGCTTTCCATACGGGTATGGAATTTTTTTTTCTCTTCGGCATTCAAAGTTCATTTTGAAGTCATTTTTTTTGGGTGTGTAGTTAATCAGCTAAAAACATATGTACTTAATCTTTTGGTTGATATAGTTTGTGAATATGTGATTTTTATTAACTGATGGTTTGGCATAGTATAAAGTTTTCACTAGTAACAATATAATTTTGCAATTGATTGGTTTACGTTTGGCCCTTGCTCTTGGATTGGAGAGATACGGCTAATCTTAATGTTCACTGACAAATTTTATGACATAATTTCTGTACTACTAATCACTATTGTAAGTGATGTCAACAAAGTGGGGGAGGAATGTTGTGAATTAGATTTAGGGGCCTGAATGTTTCATTTGGAAAAGCTGTTAGTCATTGCGAGTAGGTATATGTGTAGCTTCATCTATATATGCTGGGATTTTGTTTCAGACATATTTGGATAAGTGGAAATGACAGTGTGTGATGTTATGTCTTTGGACTGATAGCAGTGATTGGAGTGTTACGTTTTCGTAGTTGTATTGGGCTATTTAATAAAGAGAAGTTTATTCTATAAAACATTAGTAACTGAATTCTCTCACACACTCAAAGTTCTACATTATATATATATATATCTATATTTATAATATACATTTATATATATCTATTTATATATATCTATATTTATAATATATATCTATATTTATAATATATNATATATATATATATAAAACGGAAATGTGTTCCACTTAGTTTTTTGCAGCAAAAAAATGAAAAAAAAGCATTCCATATATTAAAAAAAAAGTTATAACTTTGATTAACATAAACATGATAATAATATTGATTTTATTGATTAGCTGACATACAGGAATAACACACACATGCACAAGCTGTTGGTGTGAGAACTTCATGTAATATGGTATTTAATTTAATACACAGTCATTACTATTCTAAGAAATACCACCAATCTTGAATGAATAGAGCAAGGGCCCCCAATACTGGTCATACATAGAATGGTTAGATTAACAGCATCAAACACTTGTAATAAATGGAATGGTTAGAGCCAGGGAACCCAACACTTGAGGTACATGGAATGGTTAGAGCAATGGCAACCAATATCGAATGGTTAAAGGCAGTGCACCCAAAACTTTTGGTACTGGTATATGATAATTATGTGCATACATTTTTAACTGGGACACATACCCTGTAATTAAGATTCATACATTGAGTAAACAGTTCAAAACAAATCATCAACAACAAAAAAGCCTTGAATGCAAAAAAAAAAAATCATCAACAATTTGGAACACTCTTCCTGTCGCTCTTAGAAACAGCGAGTCACTGGAGTCTTTCAAAACTGATCTGAAGACATATCTATTTGGCAAACACCTACTGGGATGATGTTGTCTATCTGGCTATTATCTTGTAGATGTGTATTGGCCTGTGTTGTTTATGGTGGTTAGGTATGAAAGAGTTAGAATGGGTATTCTCGTATATAGTTTTTGCAATTTTGCATTTAGTATTTTAATGTGGTATATTATAGAGTGTTTCATTTGTCTTTTAATATACTAGACTATGTATTGCGCTTCGAGCCTTTGGGGATGAAACGTGATTTTCAAATAAACTTTATTTTTATGATCATTTTAAAATTAAGTGATACTCCTAGCAGTTCCTTTTACCATTAATATACAATAATTAATATTTACCTAATGTGAAATGGGTGGGCTGTTAAAATTGACACAATCATTCAATTGCAGATTCGACTAAAATTTCCTCAGGAAATAAATATATCACAGAAAAAGTAAAACTTAATTCACTTTGATCAAGTGGCGTCACTAGGATGTGGAGTGACACCATGAGTAGGTTAAATACAAGAACAGCGGGTCACCAGAGTAGGGTGCCACAAAAAATAGGATGTCAACAGAATAGGGTGAAACCATAATAGAGAGCCGCAAGAATAGGGTGCCACAAAAAATAGGGTGTCAACAGAATAGGGTGAAACCATAACAGGGTGTCACCAGAGTAGGGTGCTTCAAAAAATAGGGTGTCAACAGAATAGGGAGCAACCATAACAGAGAGCCACAAGAATAGGGTGCCAACAGAGCAGGGTGCCGACAGAAAAGGAGTCCAACAAAGCAAGGAGCCACAAGAGCAGGGTACCCCAGAAACAGATTATCACAAGTGCAGGGTGCCACCAGAACAGACTGTCACCAGAGCAGGGTGTCCCAGAAACAGATTGTCACCAGAGCAGGGTGCCATCAGATCAGATTTTCACCAGAGCAGGTTGCCACCAGATCAGATTTACGGCATAGCAGTATTAGCCGGTTGCCACCAGATCAGATTTACGGCATAGCAGTATTAGCCGGTTGCCAACAGAAACATGTGTCACCAGGCAGAGCAAGGTGCGATCGGAAAAGGTTGCAAAGATAACAGACAGACACCAGAAAAAGGTTTTTAAAAAAAAATAGTTTGCCACCAGAACAGGATGTCAGCAGAGAAGATTGACGCTGAGGAAGTTCTCCAGGGATTATTGAGTGTGGGAGAGTCAAGACAAGGGGATTGGTTGAAACCATGAATTTAACACATCTGGTGACACCAATTTTAGTGACTACTCTGTATACAGCCATGGCTAAAATTATTTGGAATGGAAGTTTTAAAACCAAAATTAAGCTATTACATAACAGCACACTTTTCTCCCTTTTTTGAGAGCTCTTTTTCATATTCTTCCACTTCTTTTAAATAGTTAAGAGGAGGCCATCTGTTTTCTTTTACATATTTACTGTCATCAGGATTTAGTTGAGCAAACTCTTTTCTCTTTGAAAATGCATTGAAGTTAGTTGAGATAAAGTGGAGACAGAATGTTACCAGCTGTTTTGCATTAAAAATCTGAAATTAAAAAAAAATATAAAGAAATCATAATTAAATTTCTTGAACTTGAATGCTACTTATGTGTAAAAATATTTTTAAACAACTTTGAAATGGGGATTAATATTAATATCATGAAACTTACATGAGCTGTATTCAATAAGCCAATGACATCAATCTCTGCTCTCTCAATTCGGCTTTGGCATGCTCTGTCAACCTCCTTGCTGATATACAGTTCACACAAATTGACTAATCGCTGCTGGCAGTTCTCATCAGCCAGAGATAAAACACCAACCAGGTCAGTGCTTTCTTCTAGCGGGGCATGGTCAGTATACAAGTACTCTAGTAAAGCTATAAAGTTCTCCTTGTTAGCATGAGGAATATTGACCTTGAAGATGAAACATTAACGTAAAGTTAACACATAGAATTAATTTAATCAAATTGCAAATTAAACACACAAAAAAATGTATGCTCAGAATATATTTTGAAAAGTGTTGACTATCACATAAAGTATAATTCCAACAAATATTTAGTTTAATAAGTGTACCCTAGCACATAAAGTAGGCTTATATGTACTTTGAGAATATATTTTAATAAGTGCTCCCCAGTAAAGTATAAAGGCAACAAGTTTTACTGCTTTGTTTTACCTGCGCAATACTTTCATTGTTGCCTTCCATAAAATTGCCTGACAACATGGCAGCCATAACATCATTTCTAGTACAAAGTACAATTTTATGAGCAAATATTTGATCACCTGAAATTAAAATGATAATACGTGTTTAAAGAAAGAAACATAAAGAAAGAGGATCTAAAAAAAAATGTTAAAACATAACTAGATTTTAATTTAATGCAATTATTTGAATCTCTTAAAGACAACATCAATGATCCCCCATTTTTTTTTCTGCTACTTAAAAAATTTACAAATAAAAGTTTTGCTTTGCTTAACATTTTATGTAAACATAAATTTCCCAAGATAAAATTAATTTTAAAATATTGTTTTAATTATTTATAATAGTGCTATTGTTATTATCTTTATAACTCATATACCCATATATTAGTCAGGGACAAAAGTAAATATCCCTTAATCTAAAACAGTCAAACTAAATGCAAGGCTTCAATAATTTTAATGTTTCATAAGAACAAATTAAAGATACTATTTTACAATGCCATTATAATTTCTCACTTGCTATTCATTCTATTTCTTCTATTACCTATCAAAGTTCTAAGTAGAAGTCAAAAGAAGTAAATGCTCATTCATATTGAATCCTCTAAATCAGGCCTGCACAACTCAAAATGTAAGGCGGGCCGTAATACTTTATGAAAAAATAGGAATGGACTTGTGCGGGCCGAAAGAAAATAGGACAGGGGAAATGCTATTAAGAAAATAATAAGAATCAAAAATATTTCGTTACCTTGCGGGCCACAAAGTGGGTGCTGGTGGGCCCATGTGGCCCGCGGGCCATATGTTGTGCAGGCCTGCTCTAAATATGTTTCTTGAATGTATTTCAGTTGGTTAATATATTTAACAATATTAAAAAAAAACTTGTATAAATTTATTTATTTGGAAGAATAGGACTGTCTTTAAGACAAATGAATAATTAATTTGATTTAAAATCTAAGCACACATTTTTCAATTTAAAAAGTGTATCTACAGAATAATTATCTGTATAGGAAAAAAAATCATTTTAACATAATAAATCATTACCTTCAACATTAAAAATAATGTCAGCATTTGCATTCTGGTTAAAGAAAAGCTCTTTCATCTTTGCCCCAGTCTCATCATTAAGGTATGTCCCAATGCTAGGGTTGAGGAACTCTTCTTCTCTCATAATGTTGTCACAGATTGTTGTCAGGTAAGGTAGTTTAAAAATGACAGATGCACGGCGTAGGTCTTGCAAAACCTCTTCACTTGCATCCTCTGGTATGTTAGGTAAACCTGATATATAAATGTCAAGTTATTTTTTAATAAAAAGACTTCATTAAGAAACATAATAATAACATTGCTGTCTTTAACTTTGAGCAGGGCCTTTAAAAGTTCAATGAGGCAAGGGTCCTTAACGTTTTAAGTATATCTTGTCTAAAAACTTTAGAGCACTGATGTAAATGAGTTATGTATATTTGAATATAATAATTGTTAATATTTGAAGCCACTGTGAGGTCTTGCCGGAAATATTCCAGCTGACTTCTTGTTTGAGTAGAGAGGACCTAAATGAAATATGTTTTCAAAATACTCACTTAATAAACACTGTTAATTAAATATTCCACATTTTTGGGAGCATGCAAAACTAGAATAAACATGCTTAAATAAAATGTTTCACGTTAAATTATCAGCCACATTCTGATCACAACGTTTTTATAGCTTCTGGTATAGGCCTACCTTCAAATTCTAAATAAGAAGACAAGGCTTCTTTTCTTTTTCAATTATTAGCTTATTAAATGACAAAATACATATTTTGGATCTAGGACATGTAATCTCTTCCCCCCCCCCTACTCCAATTCCATAGCTGACTACAACTATTTGGGTCAACAAAATTAGTAGAGTGGATAGTTCATTGTTATTGACCATGCCATACATTTAGTTTTATATAATTATTAAAGATATCATGATTTTATTTTATTAACTTTAAAACAAGACCCTTTTGTTTAATACCTGTGTAAAGAAATTCCAGGACTCTGACAAAGGTCTTGGCTTTTATATCTGCACTTATCTCAATGATAGTGTCTTTGCCATAGGTTGAACCAACATCATACACAGAGCAGATTCCTGAAATAAAACAGCACAAAATGTTTTAAGTTTATAGGTTTTGAATATAATGTTACTACTGGTTGTAACATAGCAATATAGCCACTGGATTGTTATTTAATTATTATATTAATGCATTAAAATAAGAGAATGGGATTCAAATAATTTTTGTATATATATATTAGAGACCAACTGAATTTCGGTTAGGGTGTCGAAAGTTGCCATTTGATTACCTTCAACTTAGTCGAAACAGAAAAGTTAACTTTAGGTATACCGGTATTCTCAGTTTCGGTCAAAACAGAAAGTAATTGAAACCTTCAATTTTCTACCAGATTTTGGATAGTCACCCTGTCTCTTGGCCGGCAAACCAAAATTCATTATTATTAAATTATTGTTTGACGACTTGCTATCGACGCACAATATAAACCAGAAAAATTACATTCGGTCAGTCTCTTATATATTTATTATATTTTAACAATTTTTTTTTACCTTCAATTTTCCCTGCATTTAAGTCATCGCGACTGAAGCTGTCAATCTGATTGAATTCTTGCAGCTGTGTGCTCTATAATATTTTTAAAAATGTTTAAAAAAATGTCAATAACTTTATTACAATTATTTATTTTTAAAATCTTATATTTTAATGAAAATAAGGATATGTTTTCAGTCAGATGTCTAGCAATGTGTTGAGAAATTAGTATTTATTGATGTAAATTTTAAAAAGTATTTGTAAAAAAAGAACACTTTCACACTATTATAGCATTGTTTATTTTACGTCAATTTAATTATATTTTATTAATTTAAATATGAATTTTACAAAAGAAAAACTAACCCTAAGATTTGATTCCTGAATGTAATAGAATTCATTTTACAAAATAATATATGATTAAATAATTGTAAAGCTTTGTTTATTCCTTCAAGTTATAAAGATTATAATTATAAAACTTATTTAAAAGAAAAAAATCATTTCAAAAACATTTTTTTTTAAAATATAAATTATTCACTTTTTAAATTAAAAGTTATTTCCATGAAATGATTGTCTTTTGTGATTATTTTCTTCTCTTTTGTCGATATGTTAATAGCAATTTTAAACAATAATTTTTAATATAAATTTATTTTAAAACATATCTAAACTCTGTTCTATAAAATGTATCATTTTATATATATTACATACATTTGATGGCAGGATGCTTGCCAGTATTTTCCCAAAAAACTTTGATGCTGCGCAGAGAACTAACTTGTGTGCATGAAGCCTTCTTGTGCCTTCAACCAGAAATGTCACATCATGAAATTTTGGATCCTGAAGTGCTTTGTACCAGTCTGTAGCGAACACTGATGATTCAATTTCCATCCATGGAGCTTTCCCTTTTTACAAATAATTTGATTAATATACGTAAAAATAAACATTAGCTAAGCTGAATTTTTTTTTTCTCGCTTTACTAAACTTGCAAGTTAAAGTGAACTTTTCTTCTTTAAAATCTAAAATTAAGAATTAAAAAACAATATCAAATTTGTTTAATGAAAAATTTCTCTTAAAGATTGTATTTTAAAAATCTCTTTATAAGTATCCTTTCATCTAACCAATTATGAATGTAAATTAGCTTTTTAAATATTCATCACTTAATAGATTGGTAAGCTTATTTCATTAATAGTACTTCACATTGATACAAAAAAATTATGAAAATATTTTGAATCATTTTTATAAGTTAATATTTTCAGTTATTGGAAATATAATGCATTGTAAGTAATTATTAGTTTTTTTATTAGATCATTTACTTCAGATTAACATCTCAAAATTTTGTGTCTTGAAATAATACTTTTATTTATGATAACAACACTAAGGAAAGAATGGTAATTTTAATACTGTTTCAAAATTACTACCTGCAGGGGGCATTATGGGTGGAAATAATGTTAGGCCATTCTTTTTTTTACTTCCAATTGAAAAAATAGACTTTGATTTTTGTGCTTTAGCATTTTCAAGCGAAATCTGAATCTGGAAAAATAGAACAAAATTAATTAGTAAATAATATTCATATAATTTTGAATATTTAAAAATATAAATAAAAGTGTGACAGAAATTATTTGAAAGCTCTTAGTATAGTTCAAAGCCAAATAATTATGTGACATTTTCTCATTACAGCGTCTGATTGTATTTAAGCCTATCAATGTAACATAATTACATTGTATTTAGAAAGCTCATAATTTATGGGTTTTTGTCCTAAAGGAAACAACTTTGGATACCACCTTGAAGGGAGATTACAATTTTAACACTTACTGATCGATCAAAACATTCTTTTAAGCCATATTGATTCAGGGCACTTGTTTCTGCATAGTTTAATCCCAGCTCTTTTGAGATTGCTCGACCTTCCTCATATGAAATGCATCTGTCTTTGGCACTTGAATCTCTGAGGTCTTAATAAAGAAAGAATATGATTATAGTCATATAGGCCTACCATACTTAATCTTTCCAGACATCATTATACGTAAGCTTTCCTTCCCCACCTTGTCTTCATATCCAAGTATTTTAGTGACTGTAGATCATGCTTACAGGGTGTTGTTTTTTTTCTTATAATGAAATTAAATTATAATTTTTCTTCCTCACTTAAATTATTTCTCATTACTTTGCACATTTATTTTAGTGACTGTAGATCATGCTTACAGGGTTGTTTTTTTTCCTATAATGAAATTAAATTATAATTTTTCTTCCTTACTTAAATTATTTCTGATTACTTTGCACATGTTAAGTAAAACTGAATAGATTATTTATATGCAAATGTAATGGGTCAACATTAAGTATGGGGTATTGTCAACTATTGTGTAATAGTTCCCATATATTGAAACTTTATAAGTGTAAACTTTACATTTGAGTTTCAATGTAAAAATGTCAAAAAAGTTTACAATGCCTCCTGATATTTAGTCAAAAAAATAATAAAATAAAAGGACCAATCACATGTTGTTCAAATAGTTATAGTACATATTATAAATAACACCAATCTAATTTTTAACCTAACATAAAGCTTCTTTTTATGTTAAAACCAACATTTCTTTTATAACCTTGATAGAATACAAACCTGTTTTACATGCAACTAACACAATAGGAGTTTCTGGACAGAAATGTTTTATTTCTGGCAGCCATTTATCTTTAACATTATCTAATGACGAAAGTCTCTCAACAGAGAAGCAGATGAGAAAAATATCAGTTTGTGGGTAAGACAAAGGACGCAGTCGATCATAGTCTTCCTGTATAATTTAAAATTAACAGAGTTAAGGATTTTTAGGTTCCTTTAACACATGCTATAAATTATAAATGGGCCTACAAATTTTAACAATTTAATGGCACAAAATTAATTTTAAAATAGTCAATTAGCCAATCATAACGATATTTAGTAGAATTAAATAGTTTTTTTTTAAATCACACGGAACAGTCTCAAAACCGTAGGATCAACAATGAACATTAATGTGTAAGTCAAGATTTAAAAAAGAAATTTAATTTGTTTTTTTTTATTTTTATGTTTTTAAAATATATTTGTAAGGTAGGGTATTCAATTTTTTAATCACTATACTTATTAACAACAGTTCTTTCCCCTTCCATTGTAAAGTTAATAAACAACAGCTCTAAACAATACAGAGATAACTCTGTAGAGTCCACAGCAAATACGTATTATTTAATTTATAATAGACACTTACTTGATAGTTTTGTCTAATAAATCCTAATTTCAAACAGTACCGTCAAAATATACAACATGAAAGCTTATCTCACCTGTCCAGCTGTGTCCCAGAGCCCTAGATTCACAGGTTTTCCGTCCACCATCACATTTGCGCTGTAGTTATCAAAAACCGTTGGCACATATTCCCCAGGGAAAGCATTTGTTGTGTACGCAATTAACATACAGCTTTTACCAACCCCACCATCGCCTACTACGACGAGTTTCACATTCTGCATTGTTGATCCGTTTTTTCTTACCTGCGATAAATATAAAGTGAGATACATAATGTCGACCCATCAACAATAATTAATAATTGTTCATAATTAGTCACCCCTATAACTATAAAAGAACATTTCAATTTTTTAAACATAATATTTTCTTAAGTTTTTAAACCCAAAGGCCAGAGGAACTATTATTTGGCATCAGTTGGGCGTATATCTATTCCTACAAACAGTAGTCATGTAAAAATCTACGAAGTCATGCTAGAACTGTAGAGGCAGAGGTTCAACAATTATTACAATGGGTAAAAAAAAATATAAATTAAAAGAAAACTTTTTTAAACGGATTGATTCACTAATAACAAAATACTTTTAACTTTTAAAAACCCAAAGTCCAAAGACATGGCTATACTATTATAATTTATAGGCAAGTAATAGCAATATTATAAACTGTAATTGCTTCATTATTATTATAAATTTGTATATAATATTGAGAATATTAAATATTATAATATTATTCGTATAAGTCATTCGTTAGGATTAAACTTATTTTATTTTATGAACTTAAACTTAATTTAATATAAAGTTTAACTTAGACTTAAATTTAACCGCCAGGTTACTATTCATTTGTTATTTTAATTCATTATCTATTAAAATACCTTTAATTAAGACGGATGAAATGAAAGATAAATCTGCTTGCTTATTAACGTTAAAAACAGAATATTCTACTCTTCTATCGTAAATATTTTAATTATTATCTACTCACATCCATTAAATAGCCATGCATCGGACGATAAAAATAGCCTTATTTGGAAAGATAAAAATATCAACAAATGAAACGAATCATAGTAAAAAGCTATTTAAAGCTAGCTAGCCAATCAGTAATCGTCTATTATTAGATTTATTTTTTAGGGAATTGCCGCTCCGTTCTGACTTTAAAATACTCAAATTGAATGCCACATAAACTAAGTTTTATTACATTTGACTATTGCCTTTAAATACCTTCATAAATATTTTTTTAAAGGGAGAAATTAAGTGATTATGAAATAACACAGTGACACAAGAAATAAATGTAAATGATGGTTTGCTTAAAATAAAAAAAAAAAAATCATAATAGGCAGAAGTTAATTTTTTTTTATTAAAACCATGATATGAGCAGTCTCATCAGGTCATGACTCGTGAGGCTATTTCAGTACTTGCACATTGATAAGTAAAGTGAATGTGTAGTTTTATGGTTAGTTTATAACTATGGTTGTCCTTAATTAGAAAAAGACCTGCCTGGGTACTCGTAGACCCACGTAGTCACGTACCCGGTGACCCTCGTACCCGACAAAGCAGACAAGTTTATATCATTCCTTAGGTATTAATAATATGAATTTATTAAGTTCACCAGCCATCACTATGATATATAGCCCATACTATTGGTCACCATTGTCGGCCGTATTTCTTTCAAGTTAATATTATTATCTACTGATTTAATGGTATTGATTTTTACATTTGGTTTCATATTATTATCTACTGATTTAATGGTATTGATTTTTACATTTGGTTTCATATTATTATCTACTGATTTAATGGTATTGATTTTTACATTTGGTTTCATATTATTATCTACTGATTTAATGGTATTGATTTTTACATTTGGTTTCATATTATTATCTACTGATTTAATGGTATTGATTTTTACATTTGGTTTCATATTATTATCCTCAACTAAAAGATAGTCCCTATTACTTAATAGGCCTACATTACTTTCAATAAATTCTACATCGATCTTTTTGATTATATCATCATCTAAACTTTCTAGTTTAGTAAACTTGGCATGTTGATTGATTGATTTTTTATTGATTGATTGATTAGATATTTATATAGCGCTGGTATCCATGTTTCTTCAGCGTGCTCACTGGGCTCTGGTGTTCTTAAATCTACTTAAACAAAAATGTCTTTAAATGTTTCTTAAATGATTGTTTATCATTTTCTAGTCGCCTTAAAGATTGAGGCAAACTGTTCCAGAATTTAGGCGCTATCGGGATTGGATTTATGAAAACAGTGATTTTTTAAAGGGTCGGTTTTGCGACCCCAAATCCGTATGGCATCAAAGCCAGGGTTTCAAAGCCAGCGTTTCAAAGCCATGGTTTCTCATTTGGGAATGAGGTTTTCCTCACTCCGCGAGAAAATAAATAAAATTAAAAATGTCTTTTTAACTTATATAAGCTATAAATGAGTTGATGTTTAAAAAAAATAGTTGTTAAATTTTTATTGTCTATTAATGAAAAATGTATTTTTTTTAAAAAATGTTTTTAATTGTTAGTGTTAATCTACATGGTCGTGAGGTTTGTCACTTGCTATTATGGTAATAAGGGAAAAGGCTGCAATCAGGTTAGCAAAAAAAAATAATAATAATTAAAAAAATGAGTAAAAAAAAAAGTTTGGTCAAATCTGAAAAAAAAGTAACGCAACAAAATAACGACCGTGTCGGCAGGAAGCTTTCGGCTGGGAAAAAACAACGGAAAAACATAATTAAAATTTAAAAAAATAGCACTTAGCTCAGATGTAGTATCTGAGAAAAATACTTTTGGTTGCTGGGTGGCCGAGTGGTCTAAACTGACTCTATATAATAAGCTGGTGGTCTGGAGTTCAATCCCCACCAACATCCCCAAGCATCCCAGGTGGATGGGATTTGCCAGCCTTGGACGTAGATAATCAAGCTTCTAGAGCACAGGTCAGATGGTGATTGGAGGTGACCAAAGATGGGGTCGCCAATGAACTAATGCGGAGTCGCAGGCTGAAATATTAGATGGAGAAGAAATTATTCTATTTTGATTTTTTAAAATTGATGGCTTAAAATTTAAGCATTAAACATGTCATCAGAAACATTATACTGAAAAATCAAGTTTTAAACTAGTTTCCCAGCATTTATCATAAGCTCCTTTTCCCCCAATGGATCAAGCTTTGTCGAACTTTTTAAGCCATTACCCTAAAATATATTTTTTTACGGCGACGTTGCCTGCCGAAGTGTAAGGAAGAAAATAATAGACTTTTTAAACTTCAAAATGGTTAATGGATTCTAGTAATACGAAGAATAAAAGTACAAATAAGAAGCACACATAAAGATGATGAAATAAATTGAGAAAACCTCTATGTGGAACAAAATGATTTCTTCAAAAGAAAGTTCAATTTAAATTTTGTAGAAATTATGCTTAATTTTGGTACAAGGACATCGAAATTGTCACCCTTTTAAATCAAAGAAATTAATTGGATATTGTTTTTGTGAATGAGTGATTTGATTTCTAAGCTTTGTTTCTATGTTCATTAGAATGAAAAAAAAATCGTTTTTCGCAAAGGTAAGTTGTTGCACAATGCAGCAATTGTTTTGTTTGTTTGCTCCCTCGTGAGCCATTGTTAAATCCTTTGCGTCTCTTGATGCTTTGAGTTTTACGCAATGGCGCGACGAGGACGTGCGGAGGTGAAGACTGCACCCGGGGCGCCCTCAAAGGGGATGGCACCCTGAATGACGCAAGTAAATAAAAATATGTAAATTTGACAGAGCTTGATCAAGTCCGTTTCGTAACACGTCTACGACAGAAGAGCAGTGTGACGGGTGTCAATGGATTAGGAGAGCACCAGAGGAGGTCGACTCGGAGGATATCCATGGAGAAGTCTGAATGGGATGACCACTGAGTTTACCCCAATGGGTGAAACCAACTCTATCGACGCCGCTGAGCGTAAGATAAAATAGGCGGCTAGTTAAAATGACGTTTACAACGTGAGAGGTGAGCCTATGCTAGCTGCCGAGCCACTTGCAAATTTCTAACGACAGCATTATGGAAGCTTTTCTAAATTACACCAGACAGATGCGGCAACGTCAGATAAAATTTCCAATAAAATACTGTTTATGCTTACTGAGCCCTCATTACCACAAATATTTCCATTTTTACCGTAAGCTAGGCAATTGACCCCAGTTTGCTGACCACTGGAATATATCACGTTAAAGCCACAATAGGCACTTTACTTCTATATGAATGTGATCGTTACTTGAAAACGCTTGAAACCAGTGACCTAGAACTTCTGAATAAGTCATCGCTTTTATTTAAATTTTTTAAGTCTGGATAATAGCGATAATTTGTGACAATCTGTTGCTTGCCAAAAATGTTTTTTTTTTTAAAAAGTGTTTTAATAGCATGCACTTGGGATTTCCCGGGATGGTAAAATTTCCAGAGTAGTCTTATGTTTAACTAAAGTAGTTCGGGATCCCGGCAGAGAAACACCAGTGCAAGGGTCTCAATCACATATTCCACAAGAAAAGCGATTACAAATTCAATAAAGTACAACTGTTACAATCTGCTCACCCTTTATAAATAACAAATAAAAACACTAAGGGTTCTCAAGAAATAGACTTCACTTTCTTCCTCCTACTTTATATTGCCAGAGACCTGGCAGCGCTTCTTCTTACAAAGCTGAGCAACATTTGGCTTGAGTGAGTAAGCAACTGAGACCCTCAGTATAGCTTGAAGATGCTCATCAGTAAGTTTGGCCCTGAACTAAGACTTCATAGTGGAAAAGAGCTTTTCACACAGATAAGTACTCCCCAAAAAAAAGGCACATGATCCGCTTGAACAAGACGAAAATCTCAGGGAAGGTGGAGGGCAATGCTCTTAAAATTTTCTAAGCTTATCTGTTTTTCCATTCAAATCATCTAAACTTAAAATTGCACTGAAGATCAATCAGTTACAAAAAAGCGCTAAAAAGAAGTGGGTATAAATAACAAAAGGGTTATTAGAAATTTTATCTTTCTTTATATTTATTAAATCAATTTCTTAAAATTAGATTTTAATGTGAATTACTTTTTGAATAAAATAAACAGCACTCGTACCGGTACAGTAGAATGTCATTTTAAGGTTGTAATGAATACATTGCATTATAACTAAATCAATATTTTTAAAAAAGTGACAAGGGAGTTGGTTATACATCTGGAATTCCGGGACGGAAATCATTCGATTTTGGTGAGTTTGTTTCAATACTATTTTCATACAATT